ATTTTTATGTATCATTATGTATCGTTTATTTTTTATTTTTTGTCTGTACCCCCCGCCCCCCTTCCCTGATTTGATTTGTTAGCCGCCCTGAGTCCCCTTGGGGGGAAAAGGGCGGCATATAAATATAATAAATGAAATGAAATGAATCCACCATCGGGGCTTGGTTGGCACAACGTGTGAATCGGGACTGTGGGATGCTCAGCTTGTTTGCAACGCTGGCGTACTGCAAGAGGGCAGAGATGTTAGCAAAGGGAGTTATTTTTGGGGCCCCTTTTAAAACAAATTCTCAGCAGGCAGGGCGAAGAGGAGCGCTTAGCTACTTTCCATAGGGAAATAATCCCCAATTAGAGCCATCAGGCGTGTCTGCGTGACGCACAGGCCATTTGTGGCAGGTGAGCGAGGGAGGGAGGGAGGGAGGGAGGGAGGGAGGACGCAACTTCAACTCCCAGAATCCCCCAGTCACCGTCCCTCTCTCTCGACGCTGGGGAGCGGGATGGGAGGGGGAGGGAAGCCAGAGCCTGGTCGGCTGGGGAATTCTGGGAGTTGAAGTCCTGAAGTCTTCAAGGAAAAGAGCTCAAAGGGACTCTTGGCTTGGATTCTTCGGAATTAACCTGGCTAACTCTTTTCCTTGAAGACTTGAAAGAGTTAACCGGGTTAATTCAGCAGAAGCCAGGTGGCGCACACCCCCTCTCCGTCCCTGCATCCGGGAAGGGGTTCAACCTCGCGGGGTTGGTGTTCTGGGGTTAGGGCGGGAGAGCCCCCAGCCCTGATCGCAACGCCCTCCCGGAGGACCAGAGACCCCCCCTCCTCGCCGGCGTGACGTCAGCACCGCGTGAGCCCCACCTTCCCCCCGCCCCCGCCACACCTCCACCGCCGGCCAATCGCCTCTTAAGCCGCTGCCGGGTCCCGCATTGCCGATCTTGCCGCTCGCAACTTCGCTCGGAGCAGCCGGGAAGCAGCCTCAGCCCCGAGAAGCGCCCCGCTCGCCTCTTCCGTCCCCCAGCAGAGCTGCAGCAGCGGCTGACGCAGCCTTGAGCAGCCGGAGCGGCCAGAGCACAGCCATGGCTTCCGAAGGGAAGGTGAGCCGGGCGGGCGGGCGGCGCGGTTTCAGGACCCTGGACCAGGCGCCGGCCGGGGGGACTCAGAGCGGAGCCGGGCTTCGGGCGGTCCCCGACTGGGTGAAGGAGAGGAGGAAGGGAAGGAGAAGGAGTGATAGGGGGGAAAAGGAGGAGGAGGGTTGGAGGAAAAGGAGGGATGGAAGAAGAGGCGAAGGAAAAGAGGAGAAGGGATAGAAAAGGAGGGATGGAAGGAGCAGGAGGAGGAGAAGGATGAAAGCTGAGAAGGAGTGGAGGGGGGAAAGGAGGAGGAGGAGGAGCGCGACTCGGAGGGCGAGAAGGAAAAAGCGGCTCGGCGAAAGGAGCCGAGCGCTCCGCGGCCTCTTCCTTCTCCTCTCCTCCTCCTCCGCCCTGCCAACTTGGAAGCGCGGCAGATCCGGGTTGCGCGGCCGGGGAAGGGCAGGGAAGGGTGCCGGAGCCGGGTCTCCTCTGGGGAGCCTCCCTGCCGCTGCCCATTCCCGGGAAAACTTCCCATCCCGTCTCGTCCTGGCCCTTTGCGCGCAACTTCGCCCCCCGTTTTGCGAGATAGCTGTTGGGGGAGGTCCCGTCTTCCTCCTGCGTCTCAAAGCCTCTCCATGGAAATGGCAGAAGGGAATCCCGCTAGCTGAGTTTTTTTGGGGGGTGGGGTCGCTGGGGGTTGTTGCTTGGCCTGGGAAGCCACCGAAGAGTAATCAGGATGAAAGCTGGTGTAAAGTTGGTCTCTAACCCTGGAAAGGCTGGGGGTCTGCATAGTCCTTGTTCTGGATTGGGGGTTAAGATTCAAAGGATCCCCCCCCCCACTGTGGCCGCCAACATTGGCAAGCAAGGCGGGGTCTCCATCAGGACCCCACAACTGCATCCACACTTTCGGCTTACGCTTGGCCAGGAGGACTGAGTTGGCAAGCAGCGGGCGGCAGAAATCAGTTTGCACGAAGCAATAAAACGAACCCGTTGAGTCTGAGAAGGGGCTACTACAAGAGAACCGGTATTTTTAGGCTGTGCGGTGCTTGTTCAGGTGGCGGCTCGACGTTTATCCTTTTTATTTATTGGGCTGCTAAATTTATTTGCGGCCTGTCTGTTTTCAAACGACTAAATATTTTTTTTTAAAGAAACTTTTGTGTTTCATCCTTTTCTGAGTTAAGGACTTAGGTTAGGGAAAGAAAACCCATTAAAAAACAAACCCTTAATTGAATTTTTAATTCTAATGTTAATTTGTATATTTTGTTCTATTGATTGGTTATATTATTCAGACCCCTGTTTTGAGGGAGATGGGCAATTTAGAGAGAGAGAAGAAAGGAAAAGGAAGGAAGGAAGGAAGGAAAAAGAAAAAAAAGAGAAAGCAGGGATGTTTAATTCAGCAGCAGGCTGAAATTAGGAAGAAGGAAGGAAGGAAGGAAGGAAGAAAGAAAGAAAGAATCAGCAGGGATGTTTAAGTCAGCAGCAGGCTGAATTTAAGAAGAAAGAAAGAAGAAAGAAAGAAAGAAAGAAAGAAAGAAAGAANGCCAATTACACATGGAATAATAAAGAGAATACAGATATTCCTCGACGTAACAATCACCATTGAAGCTCTGTTGCTAAGTGAGACACTGGTGCTTCTGCCCCATTTTGCAACCTTTCTTGCTGCAGTTGTTAAGTGAGTCCCTGCAATTGCTAAGTTAGTGACCCGGTCGTTAAGTGAATCTGGCTGCCCCATTGACTTCGCTCGTTGGAAAGTCGCAAATGGGGACCGTCGTAAGTGTGAGCCAGTTGCCGAGGACCTGCATTTTCAATCCCAGGTTAAATGCTGCAAAGGCCATAAAAATGACATACCATCCTAGGTGGCTTTTTTCAGTGGTTACTAAAGGGACAGCCGGAAGTTGAGGACTACCTACAATGGTGATTGTCCAACGCAGAGACATTTGAAGAAAGAGCCTGTCAAGAAAGCTTCCTTGTTGACATTACGGGAAGATAATTGCCAAGCAGACGGGCTTAAAACAGAAAACCACGCTGAGTGATATCGGAAAGTTTTTAAAAGGGAAAAAAAAAACCCACCCAGGAGGAGGAGGGGGAGTTTCACAACGGGGTCCCAAAACAAGAAAGTCCTGATAGGAACCACCGGTGTGACCCCCCGCCCCCCACCCCCGGGCGCCCGGAAGGAGAAGGGAGCAGCCCCCTCTCCGGCTGGGGTAACCCCTGGGGAGATTTCCAGAATTGGGATTATTCACCAAGACAATTGTCGTTATTCCTGGTTGTTATTAGTCACCAAATTTAGCCCGGTGGGTGGGAAACAAGGTACGCCTGCTTTGTAAATGCCGACCCTGCGAGGGAGGCCAGGATGGGTGTCTTCTCTGCAAGGGAGACGCTGGGAAGGATGATGGCACAGGCCCAGGTGGTGGCTCCTTCTCCTTCTTCTCCTTCTTCTCCTTCTCCGCCTCTGCATTGGCCATTTGATGGGAAGCCAGGATTTTTATTTTTTTAAAGGTGCCTTTGTGAATCATTTATTTTTATGTATCATTATGTATCGTTTATTTTTTATTTTTTGTCTGTACCCCCCGCCCCCCTTCCCTGATTTGATTTGTTAGCCGCCCTGAGTCCCCTTTGGGGGGAAAAGGGCGGCATATAAATATAATAAATGAAATGAAAT